GCATGGAGCACTCACACCGCGGGATGGTCGGCGGTGTTTTCCCCCCTTCATCAAGAGTCGAGTTGGACGCAAAAAGGGAGCCTAAAAGGTCAGCTTTGTCTTTTGCGTCTTGGGCCAGTGAGTCGTCCTCCCTGTGCAGAGATGGTAGTGATGGCTTACAGAAATTCCCTTGGACAGCCTTGGCGAGAGACCAGAATGCACGGGTTCTCGAAGGAAGGTGAACTAGTTTCTCGCCAATTCTGCCTATGTGCTCTGACTTTGCCTTGGCAATAATTCTTTTGAAGGACCTGGAGGCGAAGTTATACTTCTTTTTAAGTGTGCTGGTGTTTACATCCCGAGTCGCCGAAGCCGCAGCCCAGGCTTGATAACACTCCTGCTTACTGCATAATGCAGTCTTACAGGAGCGATCAAACCAAGGCTGAGATCTGCCTCCGATGGGTACCACAGATGATGGAATAAATAGTTCCATTCCCTGTAGCACCACATCAGTGACAGAGTCAGCTACAGCGTTGGGATCATCCGGCGAGAAGCAAACCCGCCCCCATGGGTAGGATGCAAAGAAAGACCGCATTCCGTCCCAATCCGTCGACCTGTAATGCCAAACACGGCGGCAACCTGCAGAACGCCACCGCGAAGGGAGCGTGGGTGGCACCACACTCCGGATCAGACAATGGTCCGAAGAGCCGACATCGACGGAAACCTGATATCCGTCCGGATGAGAGGTCAGCAGAAGGTCCAACAGGGAAGGTGTATGATCCTCCACATCTGGAATCCGCGTAGAAGTAACCAGTTGTGTCAGACCATATGCCAAGGCAAAGTCATAAACAGATCTCCCCGCATGATCGGTTAAACGTGAACCGAGCCATTCGGCATGGTGGGCGTTAAAATCGCCAAGGATCACGATCTCTGCGGATGGGACCTGTTGTAGCAAGGAATCTGTAGCCATTTGGACGTGGTCGATGAGTCGGTCTGTTTCGGCATTACTGCTATGGGACCTATAGACGCACCCATAGACGCGCGGATGGTCGTCGCTGTCTACGCGTAGCCAAAGGATGGACAGGTCCGAACCTTCAAGACTGCCCAGGCGTCGAGAACAGATGTCCTCTCTGACATACACGCTGATGTTGCAGAAATTCACGGATAGCGTGGCACGGGTCGCCTTGGTATTGTTGCTCAGTTTGCCCCGAGCAGTTTTGTTTTTGAGCGGAATTTTGCCCCCCCCCCCCTCCCTCCAGAATACGCGGGGCAGCCTGAGCACCCACGCTCAAGCTGGAATAACATGGTCGTGGATGCTCAGCGAGGGATTCCCCAGGGGTACTGGTACCCTCCTGGGGTAGTCTATCGTGTAATTCCGCTACCATGTTGATGGGGGGGGGGGGGGGGGGATTGGGCCTCCGGCCACCTGCACTCGCCAGATTAAACGCAGAAGCAGAGCCTCTACTTCACGCCAGTATTCTGTGAGGTCGTGGTACCAACCCGGCTCGAGCCGGCCTATACGTGCAACAGCAAAACCTGCTGCGTGGCTCTACCACCGTTAAACTCGAACTCGAACTCGAACTCGAACGTGTACTCGAACATTCTAAATGTTTCTACAGTAGAAGGTTCTGGAAACTATCTGAGACCCTATATAAGGCCGGTATAGACCGCGACATCCTATAAGTGCACAGCAGCACAGTGAAGCCTATTTTTACCTACCCCTACATTGTCTGGTGTAATAAGGCCAACTAAAAGACGACTGCGGACAGACTAAATAGTCTACAAAGGACTGCCTGTTTAATCGCAACTGGTGCGGTGAGATCATCGTCTGTAGCGGCTCTTATTGCACTTTTATGCCTAACGCCCCTTGATCTTTATTTAGACAAGGAGGCGAGGGCTAGTTTGTATTGGATTAACGCCCAGGGCGCTTTTGAGCTTGCTTTCCTATTTATCTTCCTTATTGATCTACTAACTCGACTCAAAAAAACACCGGTCTTATGCATGATCTCAGATATCATGCGTCCAATATACACTTTTTATATAAAGTACATAGTGGAAATACCCTCCGGATATGGATAGGTTATTATTAGGTTATAATGGATAGGTTATTTGTGAGGTTTAGGTACTTTCAATTTTCACTTTTTGCTTTGTAATATATGGGAAACGCCCTAAATTCAAACTTAGTATGAATTTGGGTAAATTCACCTCTATCTTCCAGGCAAAAATTTTCGTCATACTTCAGTGTGCGGAAATTAGTCAGCAAAATACTACGTTAACCATATTATCTACATAAACTCTGCACTGCTAGCGCTGAGATCAAACGTAGTTAACTCGAAACGAGTTGGGGATTGCGTGAACCGTCTAAAGGCCCTGGCGTGTAACAACAAGGCTTTCTGACAAGCTCGCACAGGAGGGCTCAAAGAGTACACAATTTGGACCCGAGCCATTAATCATTTAAGATCTGTTCTGATAAACCTGGCTTAAAACATTTTAAAACCTTAATCCGGGCTTATGATCGTAATATCGCTTCAGAAGTCAGTAAGAATTAACTGCGTATTCTGGTAAGAGCCCTGACTGCTGACTGTTGTTTAAAAAAGCACATGCCCATACTGAAACTAAGCAACTCAAGGATGTGCCGGTTCTGTACATTAACTGAAGAAACGTCTCTGCACATCCTAACTGATTGTGGATCCTTAATGCGCAAACATAACACTCATCTGAGAAACTATGTACTTATCCGAGAAGAAGTGAAATTGTTCACAGCTAAACAACTTCTATTCAATGAAGATAGCAGTGATCTTATAGGTCGCAGTTTTCTATACCTGTATAGCTGCTCGCAAAAAAAAAACATAATAGTTGTTGTCTTATAATTTATGAGTTTCATCGTTCATTAATTACAGCTTAAACATAGGCCTCCCCATAGATTGCTTGGTTTTTTTTATAGGATAAGGGTTACAAACGAGCACACAGTCCACCTGATGGTAAGTAATTGCTGCGGCCCATACACATCTACCTACATATATCTCGATTACGAATTAAAATGCAGATGAGTTACGACCCGTGAGGACTGAGGTGGATTGCTTCGTTTCCAGTAAAAAGGGTCTCCGGTTCTCTATATCATACAAAACACTGCAGTGTTAAGCTGCTATTTTACGCTGGTATTCTGTGAGAGCGTGGTCCTTCCCCGGTCGATCCGACTCATTCGTGTTACAGCTATAGTGCTAATATAGCTGCAGCTTGGCTCTACCAGGTAAAAATTGTTTTTTTTTTATAATTCAGTTATTTGAAACATGCTGCTGCCCATTTCCTGCTTCAGTATCCCTCTGTCTCTACGTTCGCAGAAAAATGTATTTCGTTTTTGTTTTAATACAAAAATACGGTAACAAAGCTGTTCACTTCTAATCCCAAGTATATCTATTTCTATTATTTTACCTTTCAGGATACGTTATCTTCGAGACGGCGGACGAGAATAATAAAGAAATACCTAGACTTATTATCTCGATGGAAAAAAAGTTGTGACCACAAAACTTTCAATAGAAATTGTTTAATTAACCAATAAATGACGTCAAAGTTAGATTCTTTATTAAATTACAAACTCATTTATGATTTTTCAAATAAAAAATGCAATCTTAATACTTTATATGAGCAATTCTTGTATTCACTATTAACAGTAGCAATTTTTTACTTTATAATGCAATAGTTCATTAAACAAAAGTATCAACTACCCGATTATGGGCGTTGACTTATCTTGAAGCAAATTTTAATTCCGCATATCGCGTACTGTATTCACAATTAATTTAATTTAAGTCTCAACTACTTAGTTAACGCTAACGTCGTGATAATAGAAAAACGGTATCCCCGTAAAAAAAAATTGTCCATAACAAAAGACAATTGTGTTTTATCAACTGTGTTATAAAGTATTTTTCGTCATTCCTTGGGCGAGGCCAATGTTCAGCACCGGACTTGAAAGGCTGTAATGATAATGATGAACCACAGACATCATATATTTTTCATTTAAAATACTAATATTAGTAAGCTTAAAATGCTTATGTTAGGACTGGTTCACGACAGTAAGTCGAATGGCGGATTCGAACCCACGACCTTTTGAGTTCGCGGTCGTGCCGATCTGTTATTAGGCTACTATCGCTTCAAAAAAAAATGTTACTAACTTCTCAGTGATTAGAGGAGGCATATGGCCAGCAGTTGGACGTATATAGACTGTAACTTCACTATACTTACATCATCATCATTACAGCCTATCTAAAGTCCACTACTAAACATAGGCTTTCCTCTTAGATTATCCTATAAGAGTAAGAGGGATATTTGCCACAGTCGTCACGCTTGAAACGGGTTGACAACTGAATTTCGCAATATTTTTTTATATTTTTTTTTACGTGAAAGAGCCACGCTACAGCTATATTAGTTGTATAGTTGTAGCACGAATGGGTCGGCTCTATCGGGGAAGGATATATCTCTCACAGAATATCAGCGTAAAATAGCAGTTTAAGGCTGCTGTTTCGTATGATGAGCGTAGAAAACCGGCGACCCTTTTTACTGGAAACCAGTCTTTCCATCCCCACTGGTAACAACGCATGTGCATTTTGATTCGTAATCGACAATAGATGTAGATGTCTATGAACCGCAACAACCACTTACCATCAGGTGGCCTGTGTGCTCGCTTGTCACCCTTATCCTATAAAAATATTGCACAAAAAGTTTTGTACGTGTGTAAGAATTCTTAATTTGCTTAAGTAGGTCAAAGGATCGGTACAACAATAGTTAGTCACCGGCTCATTAGATGACGACCCGGAACCCATCGATAGCGTATCAACTACAAACTTTACTAATTATTTGTAAACACTTCGCAGGGCATCTTTAGGAAATTTTCAAAGAGTGTGGACCTGATATCAGCTACCCCCTCCACCTCACCGGCTCGTAACACGCATATAAATTTGCCATCGTCCTATATTCAGCACATTCCTTCGGGCTCTCTCGTTTGATCGACTACTCCAAACACACGGAAAATGGCCAAATTCATCGTTCTCCTTGTCGCCACCATTGCTCTGGTAAGTCGTGCTCTTAATTACAAATCCAGCGCAAAAATGTATGTAAGTGATAAAAAATATAATTTATTAAACTTAGATGGCAGAAAGTATTTTTAAAATATTTCTCAACTAAAATTTTGAATTTGGAAATTATAATTTTTTTTTTATATTTTTTCCGCAACAGACGCAGGCGCGTGTGGTGCGTCGCGATGCCCCAGCCTCAGCCCCGGCCACGCCTCTGCAAGACCTGCAAAAACATGCCGAAGAGTTCCAGAAAGTATTCGCCGACCAGTTAAACAGCATTGCCACCTCCAAAAACACACAGGAAGTTCAAAAGGCGTTCAAAGAAGGTTCAGACACGTTGCTCCAACAGCTGTCAGCCTTCACCGCCAGTCTGCAAAGCGCTGTGAGTAATATTTATATATTCTATAGGTATGGGCAGAGTCTGTTAACCATTATAAATGCCATCTTCTTTATCAGCACGTAAAAATCTACTTTTGGAAATGTGCCTCCTGTTGTACGAGTAGGAAGAATTTGCCATTATTGTCTGAAATTATTTAGTAAGGGTTATTAATATACTACTAAAAGGTACGTGATTGATAATAACCCACAGGAATACTGCTTCGAAATTGTTTATACTAATTGTATGAAATACATACAAACACTCACGCCTGTCACCCAGAGGGGTAGGCAGAGACTACGGACTTCAATTTGGCGCGATCCTGACACACCTCTCTCGCCTCCTTTACATCCATATATCTACACATACACGCTCGTCGGTTAAGGGTACTCCTAATCTGGCCCATTTTTAATGTATCGCCGATTTGGTCGATAAACCTTCGTCTTGGGCGTCCTCGTCCCGACTCTGCCGTTCACTTCTGCAACATAAATTTGCTTTGTCACTCTTCCCTCGTTCATTCTTTCTACATGACCAAACCAGCGAAGCATTCCTTTCTTAATCCTTGTCACAACGTCATCTTGCAAACCACACTTTTCTCTTATCACGCTATTTCTCACCCTGTCATTCAGATTCAACCCTAGCAGACTCCTAAGGACCGTATTTCTACAGCATTTATTCTACTCTCATGCTTCATTTTGGGTTCTATAAAATAATTAAATTGTAAATTAACTTTATTTAAAAAAAGTACCGCTGGATTTCTTGCTGGTTCTTCCCAGGACAGAGATATTTTCCGCACCAGTGATAAAGCTTAAATTACTTTAAATAAGTATTCTTGTGATTAAAAAAATTATTCTATTCTATTCTATTCTATTCGTAACGCTTGGTAGGCGAAATAACGACCGCAGCATCAGACTTGTGATATTGATTGTATTCTCTACCGACTTAAAAAAGGAGACGATACTCAATTCGACTCTATGTTTTTTTTAATGTGTGTTACCTCATAACTTTTTACTGTGTGAACCGATTTCGATGATTCTTTTTTCATTTGAAAGCTGGTGCTTCACATGTGGCCCCATATATTGAAGGTTTGACCAATAGTTTCTAGTTATTCTTAATAATTTATATTGAAGTCGGTTGTACAAAGTTTTTAATTTTAAATTATACCTGGCCTAAACGAGACCACCACATGTCAGAAGCTCTAAGATCCATATTATTTAAAAAATGAAGTAAAAGTAAGAGACTAATAATTTTTTTATCATTGTAGTTTAACCAATCTTCAACAAAGGTCATAGTTTAGGAGTGTTTAGATTAACGAAATGAACATTATGTAACTTTGAATCTGTCACCTTTATCAAAACGGTACCAATGTTATCAAACCGCTGTCTTCGGTCAAGGCGAACTAAAGTCACACAATGTGGCAAATTTTACTCTGAATGATGTCTATATACATTTAAATAAATTTGAAGTGTCTGTTTGTAATGTCGAAATAACAGCTTTTTAATATATGCATATGAAAGTATATACGGTACTTATAACAAAAACACGATTTTTTTAATTTTTGTCTGTCTGTTTGTTCCGGCTAATCTCCGAAACGGCTGGACCGATTTTGAACGAAATTTCACTGGCAGATAGCTGATGTTATAAGAAGTAATTTAGGCTACTTCTATTTTAGAAAAAGAATTAGGGTTCCGCGCAAAAAATTAAAACCCATGAAATCCAATCTTAATAAACTTACACGCGGGCGAAGTCGCGGGGAACAGCTAGTATTTTATATTATCTTAACATTGACCACACTATCACGAGTGTGGTCAATGTTAAGATAATACAGTTTTCTGAAATTAATAATGTCTCAAAACATTACCTAAACACAATTTAGGTGACACTTGGGACTTCTTTCCGGTGTAGGAGATCGCCTAGGTGGGTCATCACCTTTTTAGGTATTTCTGCCGCCAAATATCAATGCTTGCACTACTGTGTTCCGGTCTAACCAGTATTATGTCAGGTTGTGAGGCATTTTATCTTAGTTCTTAAAAGATGACAATGCATCGTTAGACTGCTTTTATTTGAAGTTAGCTGGTGGTGCCCATCGTGGACTGTATTAGCCACTTACCATCAGATGAACTGTAAGCTAACAGTATCTACCAGTGTTCTCAAAACAAAACCGTGCACTGTTTTTATTATTATATTTTAAGTAATTCAAATACTTTAATTTAAAATTAAAAATTTTGTACAACCGACTTCAATATAAATTATTAAGAATAACTCAAAAACTATTGGTCAGACTTTAATCAATTTATATGGGGCCACATATGAGGTACCAGCTTTCAAATAAAAAAAGAATCATCGAAATCGGTTCTCCCAGTAAAAAGTTATGAGGTAACACACATAAAAAAACATACAGTCGAATTGAGTACCGTCTCCTTTTTGAAGTCGGCAGATAAATGTTAGTTCTAAATAATATTGCGATTATATCCGGGTTACATTTGAGTAGGCGGTAGTCCATCAACTCATCTTTTTCTGGTCTGGTGGGTGTCGTAAGAGGAGACTATGAGAAATAGCAGAAAAATCAGATACATAGCAATCAACCAACTCGCTTTTTCTACCGACTTCAAAAAGGAGACGGTACTCAATTCGTCGTTTTTTTTATGTGTGTTACCTCATAACTTTTTTCTGGGTGAACGGATATTAATGATTTCTTTTTTATTTGAAAGCTGGTGCTTCTAATGTGGTCCCATTTACATAAATTTGATTTTGTGAATAGTTTTTGAGTTATTCTTAATAATTTATATTGAAGTCGGTTGTACAAAATTCTTAATTTTAAATTATTTACACTACACTTAAATTACCCAACCATTACGCGAATGAAAACGCAGATGCGTTGTCACCCGTGAGGACTAAGATGGAATGCCTCGTTTCCAGTAAAAAGGGTCTCCGGTTCTCTACACTCACCATACGAAACACAGCAGCGTTAAGCTGCTATTTTACGTTGGTATTCTGTGAGAGCGTGGTCCTTCCCCGGTCGAGCCGACCGAGACACAACAACTATACTACTGATATATGGCTCTACCACGTATAGATGGTGGCATAGTCATGTCAATATTATTAAATCTGTAATACCCAAACCGATAGCAACGATAAAGTGCAAGAGAAGTGCGGTCGGCAATCTACTGCAGTAGGATTTTCTCCTGTATCGTGGAGGCAGTTTACAAACATACATTACACAGAAACATTCAGACCCGTAACAATTATGGAAATAAAAATACTTGTGTCGTGCGGGATTCGAACTCGCGGCACCCAGCACTGCAATTCATTGTAATGTAATGATAACAGTTAGCTCCCATGTTAGTCTATATTCCACAGTAGACATATAATATATGCTTATGATGATGCTAAGACCTAGCTAAACATTACACAGAACAATTTAATTCATTTTAAAAACTAATTCGTATCAGTTTATGGCCTATGCAATGTCAGACGCGTTACATTATTCCTTGTGTACTTGATGCTGCTCGAACGTGATTGGACTGTTTTATGTATTTATAGTCTAAACATGTACTAAGCTAATCGAGCGCAACAAACGAAATAGGTTTAGGTACTATTGTCTAATAAAATATTAACCTGTATAATATGGTAATCACTAGAGCGCTGACAGGCATAGATTGATAGATTAAAATAATTTGGAACCAACATAGTTTTAGGTGTAGGTATGTGTGCGAGAGTGCTTGTACGTACAATAAGTTGAGCTTGGTTTCGACGTCACATGGAAATGTACGTAGTGTTCTGTCATCTTCCTTAGTTGTTGTGAGTTAGAGCCATTAACTTGGTCTTTGGCTTGTGCTTGCCAAACGTAATGACTTATTCATCAGCTTGCTTCACTGCTCTGTACATGAGCGTTTCCCATTGTAGGAAAGATTTTTTTTATATAATCGACACGCCTTTCTGCGAATTTGTGATCGCAATATAAGATTTGCCGTTCTTTTAATACTGCTCCAGCATTTATAAGTGGTATTCTATCATTTAAGACCTAGCTTTTTTCTTGCCTTAAGCAAGTCGCCTATCACAACACAGTGTTTTTACAGTGTGGTACGGCGTAAGAAAATAATTTTCTTACGCTGTACCACAAGGAAAATTTAATTGGTTAAAAATTCTACATAACTTGTTACAATTTTGCCACTTAACGTTACCGTAACAGCCTTTAATAGGCTGTACAACACGGTGTTTTACAGTGTGGTACGGCGTAAGAAAATCATTCTCTTACGCTGTACCACAAGGAAAATATAACCAACATGATTTAAGCATCGAAATCGGTTAAAAACTCTACATCATTTGTTATAATTTTGCCACTTAACGTTACCGTTACAGCCTATTAAGGTCCACTGCTGAAAAAGGCCTCCCCCATAGATTGTCTCATAGTCTTGGCAAGCGGATTGGTAACCATAGTTTTTATTTTTATTTTTAATCGTTATTAGGAAGACGCTGCTGCCCATCTCCTGATTTGTTTACCTCCGTCGCCTCACACGACACCCACGTGATGACATAGGGTAGTGGGATATTCTTACACCGCCACTACACGACACTTTTGCCACTTAATATTATATTATTAATTAATAAATCTTCAACGGATTGTCGTCGTCGTTCTGTACCCAGCAGGGGTCGTACTATATATTATATTGTAGCTTTATTTTACCGGTCTCACTATAATTTGTATGAAAATTTCGTGTTATAACTAGAAATTTTTCGTAAATAGTACCTACATTCAATTGATTAATATGATAAAAATAATTCTCTTTATGTACAGATGACCGACGCTAATGGCAAGATTAAAGAGGCTTTGGAGGTGGCGAAGACCAACTTGCAGCGGTCGGCCGAAGAGCTGCGTCGCGCTCACCCCGACGTAGAGAAGCAAGCGGTGACCTTACGTGAGAAGGTCCAGGCAGCTGTCCAGAGCACAATCCAGGTATGTACTATTATTGCTTACCGTTTATGACTCAAATAAACAACAGCATGGACTACATCACTAAATATCCTGTGTAGACTGAAAAACAATAACGACATATTGAATCCGTCACTTGCAAACCTATAAATAAATAACGTGGGACACTGTTTTAATAGGGTAGAGCCGTGCTGCAGCTATATTATGTTTGCAGCACGAATGGGTAGGCTCGACCGGGGAATAGTCACGATCTCATATAATACCAGCATAAAATAGCAGCTTAATGTTTTTTTTTTAATTTGATTTATTCTTTATTGCATTCCTTAAAACAAAAGAATACAATTCCGCCTTTATTCTATAAAAAAAAAATCTGATTTAAATCACAATATTAGGTGTGATTTAAATCCGAAATTTTCTTTAAAATTTTTAAATATGCGAATATTTTAATCCTCTTGAAATTTTAGGGTCTGGATAAAAAAAAATATTGTAGTGTAATTATTTTCTGAAGTTAACATTTAAAACAATTTTCGTCTCTTTTCTTTTAAGTAAAATAAATAAAAATAAAACAAGTTATAAGAACTATCCCTATATAAGTGAGACGACAAATACGACTGGTTATGATGTTGAAAAAACTAAAATTTTAATTTGTTTTGCATAGATTTTACATAACGTTTTTTTAACTTAGGATTATAATTATGTTTTTATTCTAGAGGATTCCGAAGAGCTGATAAATTGGTAGTCAGATAGGAGTTTGTAACTACTAATTCCTCAGCTCTTCGAAAGTCCGTTTAATCGATATTTTAAATTATTTCCTTTTTAACAGGAGACACAAAAACTGGCGAAGGAAGTAGCGTCAAACGTTGAACAAACAAACGCGAAGCTCGCGCCAAAGATCAAGGCAGCTTACGACGACTTCGTGAAACAGGCTGAGCAGGTGCAGAAGAACGTACACGAGGCCGCCAATAAGCAGTAGGAGCACAAGGATGTCCATTATTCATTTAAATTTATTTACATATTTTAACGCAATAAATTACTAGTTATAACCAATTTTATTTTTTAATTTCAATCTGAATCCTGCTCGAATTAGGGCCTGCGCGGCGTGTCAAAGGATTTTTTTGTGAGGAAAAAATATTTGCGATCTTATATTAGTGATAGACACGTGCCGCACGTCACGGCATTCCATGGGCTGCTGCGGAACGTCACGGCATTCTGCACGCATTATGACACGCCGCTGATCACGTGAAACGCATAGCCTGTTAAAGGAATGTGAGCACTGAGGAATTGAAACAAGGTTGAACTTTCAAACAGCACAGTAATGTACTGAGTGCCCGAACGCGGCTGCTTTTGTCACGACACGAGTTGCCATAGGAAAATATAAAAATAACAGTTTATGTGGAGTTTGAAATATTGAGATTGAAACAAAACACAATGTAGTGGTAAAATTATTTATTGTAGATTAGATAGCAGAAATACAACAATGTTGAGTTTTATTATCCAATAACACTTATTGTAGCTTCTACACTTTTGGCAGTATGTGAATCTTAATGAAGAACATTTGTGACCTATTCTGTAGATCTATCTATTGTCAATACATATTTGCAATAAAAATAAACATACTTAAACATACTATGCACGCAAGATGACAAAGGTGCCATCATACTAGGATTTGGCTTTGCATTTCACTATATTCAAGTGGGTCGTGAAGCGAGCAAATATCAATCTTAAAGAATATTTATTTTTACTTAAATTGCATTTCAAAATGGCGGCTACCAGTATTTCAAAGCAGTTATGAAATATACCGCCTCTTATACTGACAGAATAAATACCACAAATTAAAGTCCATTTATAAAGGTTTAAGATACATAATTTATATGTATCTTAAACCAAAGTAAATAAGTGTAACAACACAATTGCAATTAGTTTTACATAAGTTTGCCACTAAAAATTTATAAAAAGTGTTGGTAATAGTTGTTTTAATAATCATGTGTCTGTAATTATATAGACGGTTCCATTCAAATGGTAGAAATAGTACTTTCATTGATTTGCTAATTTATTAGGGATACTAAGCATGGGTAAACATGAGTCAGATGGATTTTAAGTCCGCCAATACTCAGAAACTAATCATGTTTGTATATATTAAATGCTTAAACGTTCTGAATCTACATTTTCGTGTTAAAATTATATGAAAATTATCTATATGTTATTGCCTCATTCGATGTTTATTTGAACGAATATCTTTGACTCGATATATGCAATGTTTGATATGAATATATGTGAAACAATAATTACTATATTGTATAATATACCAATTTTATTCAGTGAAATATTATTTGCACAATAAAAAGCCTGCAATAATTATGCTATAATGTATTTAATAAGCATGTGCCTAAAAGTATTATGACACTAAATAAAATAGTTACATGAATAATTAAGGGCCCAGTAACATTGATGAACCAGCACAAATGGTTTAAGGTGAAAACTCAAGGGTGGCCTGCGAAATTCAATTTTTTTGGAATTTGCAGGTCAGGGTCGGGTTGTATGTTTAATAAAATATGATTCGCGACCGTAACGAGTATGTATTTGTAGAATTATAGAATTATTAATCAACAAAACAACCCTCTAAGTTCATATAACCCCTTTGAATGAGTTTTTCTAGAAATAGCCATATAATGGGATTATACGAACATAAGACGGTTGTAATGATGGTTATAAGGATTATAAATCTGTAAATACATACTCGTTACGATCGCAATGACCTACAAATTCCAAAAAACGTGAGAAAATTTGAATTTCGCGGGTTACCCTGGCGCTTTCATCTTGAGAGAAATTTGAAGCAATGATAAACATGTGTAGCTAAAATGTACTGAACCCCTTACATAGGCAATGACGTCGGAACTAAAGAACACCTTAACGTCTGGTGACAGGTTGCCACTCATCGTCATTAGGTTCGCGGGCTGAAAAACGATATTTTATATTGTAAGTATAAGAGAAACAGAAAAACAGTTAAAATAGAGCAGGATTAATAAGTTGCTTAGACTAAGAGCGGGTTGTATCACCTCCGCATAACGCACGCGTACACACATTACAAGCGGTAAAATTAAAATTTTTGTACAACTGACTTCATAAATAAAATGAGAACACATCAATGTAAATACAAGTCAATTAAATACGCATTATTAAGGATAACTCAAAAACTACTGGTCAGATCTTCATCTATTTTATAGATTTATATGGGACCACGTGAAAATAAATAATTAAAAATTAAAAATTTTGTACAACCTACACAATTGACTAAAATTTACTTCAATATAAATTATTAAGAATAACTCAAAAAGTATTGGTCCAGATCTTGATCAAATTTATATAGCATCACATGAGAAGCACCAGCTTTCAAATAAAATAAGAATCATAGAAATTGGTTCACCCAGAAAAAAGTTATGAGGTAACACACATTAATAACAAAAACAGTCGAATTGAGAACCTCCAACTTTTATTGAAGTCGGTTGAAAAATGGCACAAACTATCGTCAAACAATAAACCTACGTTAATAAATAACAATTACGATAACGACTGGTTAACGTCATTTTATTCCTAAATAATTTAATGCAATTAAATGTGTGGTATTTATCGAATGTTAATGATCATTACAATCACATGATCACATAATAATTATTTGATATGTTACTTTAACCAATCATTTTAAATAATCTGCCCTAAGTATAAGCTAACGGTCGGCCGACTCGTGCTACAACCATAATCTACCACATATATAAAAAAATATATAGGGTTGAACCATCCTACAATGGGTCGGTTCAACTGGAACACTCTCTCACAGAGAATACCAGCTTATAATAGCAGCTTAATGCTGCTGTGTTGCGTATGATGAGTGTAGAGAACCACTGACTCTTTTAACTGGAAACAATTCATTCTATGTCCTCAGGAAAACGCATCTGCATTTTGAGCGTAGTCCTTAATTGAGGATAAGTGTTTATGGTTTATGGAGAGATATACATGGGCCACTGAATCCACTTACCATCAGGTAGACTGGTTCTTATGGTAATGTTACGTAATGTTACATGGCACTATAATATTTCCTAAGCAACAGACAACAAGACACAATCCACAAACAGGATTATAGTGCATAACAAGCACAGGTGCATTCTCTATTCCCTCACTTTCCGAGATACGGGGGTGAAACACCGCCAAATTCCTGACTACGTCCTGCTACTGAGAATTACTTAACAGAAAATACCAATTACTGAATTCGGCTCAAACCGGGATTCGAACCCGGGACGTCATGATCAGCAATCACGTTTATCAACAACTCCATACAAAATGTTTTGCCACTGATGCTCTAAAGTGTTTTGTCGGGTCCGACAAATGTAAACGGGCAGAACATTAGAAACAGGAACACAATAATGATTTCATACATTTACGCGAAAACTACACATTCTATAAAACAATTTTTACGGATTTTATCGCGTTTAATTTACTTATTTTTAATTTCCGACGTTTCGGGTGCTTTACCCCCGTGATCATGGGTGCACCAGCACCAGAAACGTCAGTAATTAAAAATAAGTAACTTAAACGCGATAAAATCCGTAAAAATCGTTTTATTCAAGGAACACAAGATTTTTTTGTAGGGCTTCGTTATTTCTACTCACGTTTGTCCTCACGACGCGGCGGCGGCGGGCGACGTTCGCGGTCGTCTCTACGTGGCCCATCCCTGTGCAAACAAACCATCATATTTAAGCTAAAAACATTACAGCCTGCTAATCGCACAGCTGCTTTAATATTTAGACACATATTATTTTGAACTTCTGTATACGTATATTTTATTAATAATATAGGCGATGAAGTATAATTTTGCAGTGTACAAAATAAAACAACAGTTGAAAGATGCAAAATAATACACAGAAAAATTGCAAAACATTTTTAAAATATTTGAAGGCTTACCGATCATCCCTTCTTGGACCATCTCTATCATCTCTTCGTGGCGGGTAGCGGTCGCGATCACGGTCGTCGCGCCGGTCTCTAAAATCACGATCGCGGGGTCCGTCACGGTCTCGAGGGCCATCGCGGTCTCTAGGCCCATCTCGGTCTCGAGGCCCGTCGCGATCCCTAGGTCCATCACGGTCCCGAGGACCATCGCGGTCTCGGGGACCATCGCGGTCTCGCGGACCATCGCGGTCTCGGGGACCATCACGGTCTCGAGTAATTTCACGATCGCGAGGGCCGTCACGGTAACGATCATCTCGCGGTGGCGCGTCTTTAGCACGCCAAGTGCCAGAACGCTCCTATAACAAAATATTTTCATCTCTTACAGATTCTCAAACAGATCTTTATAGAAAATGCCATAAAAAGTTATTAAAAATATCATTCACATTAATAACAGTAGTGCCATCCACCATAATAATAATAAATTATAACATAATAATATAATATACATTATTATTATATACTAGAGGTAAAATATCTACACTACTACTAGAAGTATAAATACCTAGAGGAGCAACAGGGATTAACATGAGAGTTTCACAACTGGTATTGCAATTGTCATCAAACCCAACAAGCAAGAAGATTATAGCATAATATCTTCCATACTGTGAGAGGCTAATGTTAGGCAGTGAAATATTACAAGTTGATAAAGATAAATAAGAAAGTTGAACACCAAATCTAAAACCAATTCCAAATGTAGACCTTTATAGAGAACCGGCAAGAGGGCTCCAAGAGTCCTCAACTTATTTTAAATGATAGCTTAAAAACTGGAAATGGCAATGGACGGGATATTAAGCTCGAAGGACTGACATCTGATGACGAAGAAAGGTTCTGCATGGCTAGCATAGGCTGGGGACAAAAATGTATCCCTCGATTATATCCACTGACAAGAAATAAAATTATCTTGTCTATGCCAAAGCACGGCAACGGGGAGAAGTATATCCCCGTTTGATATTATGAGTAGACATATATCCC